GGCTGTAAAGCGCCATCTTATGCAAATTGAGCGTATTTTATGGTTATGAAAAAGGTTGTAACAAAAGCTAATAATTAGAGGTATGTCAAATTTGGAGGTATCTCAAGGGAACATGCGAAACCAAAAAAAAATCAAACTTTTTGAAAATTTTAGCAGCTGATTACTTTTGGCAATTTATAAATGCATACATTATGAAAATTTTTTTTAATTTCTGAAATCAAAATTTAGCCATTGAAAAACGTGAAAATTAAGTAAAAGACAGATAATAAAACAAAAAGATGCAATATAAAAGTGGACAATCATGATATCCTGTACATCGCTTATCTGACGGAGAGTCCGATTGTCTATAGAGTCATGAAGAGACACTTCAAGCATTCTGAGCTCCAACTCTTGCTTTTATAAAGGTAATAAAACGCTATAAACAACGTTTTCAATACGAATAGCTTTAAAAAAAACAAAAAAATCTGCCCCAAATTTCTGCGTTTTCTTAAAAAAAGAAAAATTCTGCATCTTTTTTTTAAAAAAAAAGAAAAAAATTCTGCGTTTTTCATTGCATGCTATTTATGAAAAAAATCATCTAAATTTCTCAAATTTCCACCTCTAACAAGAAAAAATTCCGTGTTTTCTTTAAAAAAAAAAATTTCACTGGATGCTTCTTACAAAAAAAAATTATCTGAATTTTTAAAATTTCCTCCCTTAACTCTATCAGTTATTTCTTGACGACGTTAATTCTTGACGATATCAATTGCTTCGCTAAAAAAAGGTGACAGAAGAACAAATTTCTAAGAACCAATATATTTTTTCAGTGAAAAAAAAAAATGAATCACGGTAAACCTGTTTCGTTTTTTCTGGATCAGCTTGTATACAGGGTGTATCGAAAACAGCTCTGTAGTGGCGGCATACATTCAAATAGGCACTTTCGTGCAAACCTATTTTGATCATTAGCTCATAATATTTTAGCTTCAGTTCTTGCACCTGTAATAAAAGACAAAATTTTCCTTCCGCTAGTAAGTCATGCATTCATGATAAATTATATCGATGTAAAAATAAATCATTATCATTTTCAATAAACGACCGCTAAACGGAAATTGTTCATTTCCTTTATGCAAAATTACGATGATTTTGAGCGCA